ATTTAGGTTTGTTTTTCCATGTCAGATCCAAAAGAAGCAAGCTGCTGATGTCGTGCAGAAAATCCTGCATAGAAAAGTTTGCAGTGACAGCAGAAGCTTATTCAGACTGTAGACTGATAGTTTTACTTTAAACCTACAGATGCTTCCCAGCACACATTGTCATAAACATCTGTGTTGTACATACACTGTATGTAAAAAAAAAAAGAAAAGAAAAAAAAAGCAGCAGGATTTTATAGCACCTGTTTCCTGCCTCACCATCTCATTGTTTTGTTTTTTTTTTATCTCTTTCTTTCTCTTTGTGCAGGCATGCCCAGCATCCTTGACTGGACGGATGATGGCTTCAGCATGTGTTTTGGCATCAACCACTTGGGGCACTTCCTTCTAACCAACCTGCTTCTTCCTCGCCTGAAGGAGTGTGCCCCCAGCCGGGTGGTGACCCTCACATGCTCCACTTACAAATACCAGAAATTGAACTTCCAGGACCTCAATTACAACTTACTTCCCTTCTTCACCTACTGCCGCAGCAAGCTGGCGAATATCTACTTCAGTCAGGAACTGGCTCGCATCACTGACGGGAAAGGAGTTACTTCATATGCTGTACACCCTGGTAAAACCTTTTATCAACAGTTCTCTTCAATTAGTTTTTATTATGTCTTCTTTCTATAATTTTGGCTTGAGGTAGAATGGTTAAAAATTAGAGATTTTGTTTTACCCTTCCATCTTTATCCTTCAAGAGGTACATTTTCCTAACAGAGCTTGCAGTTTTACTGTAAAAAAACAAACAAAAAAAAACACCCTCTCCCCTTCCTTTTTATACAATATTTGGGAAGTCTCTTCTGGTTTTGAAAAGTGAGACCAATGTTGGATGTGGTTAAATCTGCATTGTTTCTCATAGCCAGCAGGGGGTGACTCCTGGTTGCAAAAAGAAGTGCTAAGTCTTTGAGAAAAAACTTTTCACCTTTCTTGATCTATGACTTGAACAACCTGTTGAGGTTTCAAGTGCAAGTTTCACAACTTACTGAATGAAACATGCGGTTGATTTTTTTTTTTAAATTATGGTGTCTTTAGAGTCAGAGAAGGCAATAAAGCAGGGTTTCCTTTGGGATAACTGTTTGGGTCTGCCGTGTTATTAATGAATCACGTTTCACATGAGCATAATCCATGGTTTTTCAGTCAGATCCACCTTTGCTCACGAAACCAATCAGAGAGAATAGCAGTATAGGAGATTATGGTTTTTCGTTTTATTTAATTACCTGGATGAGGAAAAAAATGGTACCATGCATGACAGCTGAAATTAACAGTACCAAACTCTTCCACCGCATCTTGACTGTTTGATCCATTGTAGTGATGTACAGAGGCAAAAATACAAACTTGTGTCATTCAACTATTTAAAAACCTAAAAATTTAATAATTATCCTCATATCTTGGATTTTTATGTTACTCCAGGTTTTGTGCAAAGCAACTGGACATGCCACTACTCTTTCCTGTTCCGGATGCTGATGCAGGTGATCATGTGGATGTTTTTTGTGCCGTGTGAGATTGGAGCTCAGACTGTCATCTACTGTGCCGTGTCAGATGAAGCTGCCAAACACAGCGGGGGGTACTTCGTCGACTGCCGACCTGCAGTGCTCCGTCCTTTTGCAAAAGATGCAGGTGTGGCCAAAAAGCTGTGGGAAGCCAGTGAGAGACTGGTGAAGCTAGCTTAACTGAGGAATCTGAAGGCACTTTTGAAATGACCCCACCCCTTCTTGTCTTTGTCTATATTATTTAAGCAGATTTTGTTATGTTTTCGTGAACATTTTGCTGTGTAAATTCTCTTTTATGTACTTGTGTATTTCAAGTAAAATACTTTATTTTACAAACACAAATTTTTGTGGAAGACTTACTCTGCCTTATT